ATAATAATAAATTTATATATATATATATATATATATATATACACACACACATACATACATACATACACACACATATACATACACACACACCACACTCAGAATCAAATAACTGTAAAACCCAACATTGTAGAAAATAATAAAACATAACCCATTTTCCCTTCAAATTTACAAAAAGCATTCAAAATAGACACATCTATCCTAAAAATGAAAGGACCCCACATTATTAAAGCCGGTGTTAAAACTGCACCTTTAATCCCTCATCAGGTAATACTGCAGTAACAGCATAAGTGATTATTAAACAAGTCCCAATATAATTTCTGGCCCGACTCAAATTCCACATTTATGTGACTAAAATTCAAGCCTTGCAGTTCAGCATCATCCTGTTTACATGATAAATCTTACATGATTTCATTAATAATCTCCCCTAGCCCTATCTAGCTTTATCGTTTAAACAGGATCTCTCATCCACAGTTGTCTACCTAGTGAGTCACCAACCTGAAACAAGCATGCTCTCAGCGAAGTTTGGAATTCTGTCCTGCATGCTTAAAGGATTCATTAGGCAGTAAAGCAAGAATCGGGATGAGGGTCCCTGGGGTTTACAACTTAAAAGCAAAGAAAAAAAAAAGTAAAAATTGCAGCTCCCATTATTTCTACTCTGAAAGAAGTTTAGGAAACCCACCCAGTACCTGAAAGTTCTCCTTGATCCTGTCCGGGTTGAAGCTCTTTGCGAGGGCCACAATCCCTCTCTGAAGAAGGTGCCTCATGGCCACTTGAGCTGGAGTGCGGCTATATTTTTTAGCCAAGTCAGTCAAGACGGGGTCTTTCAAGACATATGGGCTATCCTGATCTATCCTGGAACGGAGACTTGGGTTAGTTTTGAAGTCTAATTCCAAAAGACATATAGGCAGCTTCAGTTCTCAGAACTCCCTTAATGCAGTCTCAGAGTGCAGAATTGAACCTTTCACCAGCTGGAAAAGCCCACTGTATATTAATGCACCAACCACCTGCTGTTGAGCTCTGATGATAAACTTTATTGTAAGTCACAGTACATCATGACAACCTAGAACTTCCTTTATGATTCAGTTGTGAGAGCTTTGTCATAGGAGTGTTCAAACATAGTTACAACTGCAAACAAATTCCACCCACAATTTTTTTGATAACGTGGGGAAGGTTTAGAACATCACAAAGGTTTTTATTGCCGTTTCTGTAGCCATCGGGGTAATATTCTCTCCCTTGTGTGGTAACCTGGCACAATATGGGGTTGGGCTTGGTCCCCTTCCCCGGTAAACCACAAAATGACCCCAAAAATGTACACCTTTTTTGGTGCCACCTGGTCAAATCAATGACAAGATATTATATCAAAAATATTTTTGAATGCACAAATATTACAGTTACATAAATGGCCTGAGAGTATATCCATAGTATTTAGTGTATTTTGTGCATTATAACATTGCTTTTTAATCACATTACCATCTTCATAAATACCCTCAAGTACCCAGTGCACAACAGGATAAAATGTCTTTAGATATTAGAATATTGTTTCCATTCAGTTGATGCAGATTCTGGAAGTGGAACAAGGAAAATTCTCAACTCCCAGATCATAGATCCATAGATCTGCTTCACCAGGGGATATAGTATAATTCATTAGTTGCAACACACCTGAGTAGAGAATGTATATTGCTATCAAATTGCTTGAGTTACTAATTAACTTTCAAAAACACAAAATCGTACAAACAGCGCTCTTGTAGTGGTATTGAGGGGGTAAAAAATGTGACCCTAATTAGTGTGCAGCCCTGAAACCCAGGAGGAGTGCCTGTGGATATGCAAAACAGAAAAACCAAAAAGGGCGCAACACTAGGTAGGCTGACTGGCCGGGTTGGACGCCCCAGGGAAGGTGACAGGGAAAATCGTGTGACAATGGATGCAAAGGGCGAAAAACTAATTAATAGCTGAGGAAACAAAAAAAATTTTTTACTTACATTTTAAATCATGGGCATCCATCCTCTGGTCCCATGATTTAAAATGTAAGTAAACAAATTGTTTTGTTTCCTCAGCTATTAATTAGTTTTTCGCCCTTTGCATCCATTGTCACACGATTTTCCCTGTCACCTTCCCTGGGTCATCCGACCCGGCCAGTCAGCCTACCTAGTGTTGCGCCCTTTTTGGTTTTTCTGTTTTTAATTAACATTCAAGCAACCAGAAACTAGTTATCTGGCACCTACCGATCCCCATGGATGCCAGATAACTGGGTGTTTACTGTACATTGTTGGGGTCCTGTGACTTTGACCGGAAAATACTTTGACTATACTATCTCTTGTAAGTAGATACCGGTACTTACTCAAAATCACCCTAATATGGTGATCCTGAAAGTAATAAGTAACAATCATAGCAGTACAATCTTCCTTACATGTCATTAAGGTAAATAGTAAAGTTCCTCTTACTTTTAGCATTCCGGTAAGCTTCTTTGCAGAATTCCGTACAATATCCCCTCTCTAATACCCTTACCTTCAAGGGCCTATCATTTTTCGTCAAAATCCTTATCAGAACAAATCCTAAATTTTCTCACATATTGACTGTACGGCATACTTTGAATCAAGGTCAGTGGATGGGCACTTGTGCTGGTAATGCCATACTTCACGATACAAGTGCCCATTCATTGCCTTTGATTAAAAGTATGCTGTACAGTCAATAGTTGAGAATAGGTAGAAGTTATTCTGATGATGTACATTCATCTTGATACTGACACTTTGCATGTAATTTGCCCCCAATTTGTAATTGTTTATAAAACTGAAGGATTAGACACTCCTTAGAGCTGGATGACATCAAGACCTTTCGTGACAATTCTATATATGTAAAAAAGGTAAATATCACATTTGATAGTGATATCCACTCTACTGGGGTGTGTTGCATCTAATGGATTGTTCTATAGATCATATGTATTTGAAGTTTTTTGATCATCTACATCAGGGGTGGCAAACTCAAATTCATCGGGGGCCGCATCAGAGATGGGAATTAGCCCCTGTTTTACGTCCTGATTGGATCTCCTTATACATATATCGATATTGTAATTATGATATAGTGTATTCATTTGGAAATATTATGTTATAATGTAAATTGCTGATCTAATATTGTAGACCTACCCTCTACGTCTCCTGAAGAAGATCTATAAAATCGGAAAAACGCATTAAAAAATCTTCTCAGTCTACTGCCAGAATCAGCCTCAACTGAATGGAAACGACTATATTTTTTTATGTTTTTAAATAAAGCAACATGCATTTTTACATATTCAATGAGGGTGTGAAGTAGTTTTTTGCTCTTTTCTTTTTTTAGTTCTATATATAAAATAAACTAATTCTATTGTGCCTATAGGAAAAGTCCAATGCATTCCAGAAGACCCTTGCAGATTTGAGCACGTGCACATGCTATTGTCCATGATCCTGTGCACAGAAGTGCAGGCATGAGCACATTAGTGTACAGGTCTGCATGAATTAGCATGAAGGTGCACGTTAATGTGTAGTCCTATATAAACGGCATGTCATATGGACAACTTGGCGAGTGGTCTTCAGCTTCTTCCCGATTACCTGTGACCTGATCAGATACCCTACTTACCTGTGAACGACCCGGCCCACCTTCTGACATCTTTCTCTGGATCTCGGTCTGCCACCTGCTTACTGGACTAGGAATTCTGTCTTCTGCCCTGTACCTCTTGGGCCAGCGGTTATTGCCCTTGGCTTGTGACAACGACTCCTGTTCTTGACATGCGGGTCTATTCACAAAAGGGTGAAGGTATTCCACTGCCCGGGAGTTACCAGCTTGTGCTCCAGCTACATCACCTCATAGTTCTAGCCGACCTGTGACAATGAGACTGTCACAGGTCGGCTCAGTAGATCGGGAGGTGAGCGAACACATACCGGGTTCGCTCACCTCTTGATCCTGTCACGGCTCTCTGCCATGACAGGGGAGGGGCTGGATTCCCCCCTCCCCGCTCCGATCTGCCAGTGCTGACTGGCGGAATGGACGGGGCAGGGGGCGGTTACAGCTGGCTCTGCCTCTAGATAGGCAGAGCCAGCTGTCACTCACGCAGCTGGGCGGATCCAGACATCGACGTCGGGATCCGCTGCGGCTGCTGAGCCTAGTGTGACAGGAGGACGCTAGTTTGTGTCCTCCCGTTACCCTGAGGAGAACTATGGGGAAAAGCCCTGACCCCATAGTTCTCCTTTAAGGTAATCTTGAAGGCAGACTCAGACAAAGTGCAAGTGTCTATATTCTGTGTGCAGAAAAGTAGTTAAAGGAGAACTATGGGGTGGGAATAGATGGGATCGCAACACGCATAGGTGTAAATGGGCCCCTCTCTGGTAGGAAGTTTAGGGGCGCTCTCTGATGACAAAGACAGAGGTCTTAAGCTGGCCATACACCTTACAATTATCTGCAGATTTTCTGTCGTAAGATGGAAAAGTTGCAACAGATTCCTCCATCTACACTAAACTGTGTGGATGGAGTAATCTCCACCTGGGCCAATCTGTTGCACTTTTTCCATCTGACCACAGAAAATCGGCAGATAATTGTAAGGTGTATGGGCATCTTAAAAGGAGAACTAAGGGGTCAGGGCTTTTCCCCATAGTTCTCCTAAGGGCCCCCGGAGGACATAAACTAGCGTCCTCCCGTGACCCAAAGCTCAGTATACCGCGAGCTACAGCTCAGGGACGGATCCCGACAGTACTGTCAAGATCCAGCCAGCTGCGTGAGTGACAGCTGGCTCTGCCTATCTAGAGGCAGAGCCAGTGGTACACTCCCCCTCCCTTGTCCGTTCCGCCAGTCAGCGCTGGAGGATCGAAGCGGGGAGGTGGGAAATCCCTGCAGGGAGCTGTGACAGTCACGGCTCTTTGCAGGGAGATGATCGAGAAGTGAGCGAGCAACGGTATGTGTTCGCTCACTTCCCGATCTTTTGAGCCGACGTGTGACAGTTTCATTGTCACACCTCGGCTCGAACTATGAGGTTGCGTGAAAATCACTCACCTCATAGTTCTCCTTTAAGGAATATTTTTGTGACTACGTGGACAGTGGCATTTGGTTATATAATTTTAGCAGGCTTCGACATTATTAATATTTTTTTTTTAACCATGTTCTTTAAGCCACACCCAAAAGCAAGTGCTGTGCAGCCAAACCCACTTGTTCCCTGTTCTGAGCTAAATTTAGACATGACTGTTGATGCATTAGGACGTGTAGTTCCTCCTAAAAGCTGTTGAAAAGAACAGTTAAGCAAACACATTCATAAATAGCACATGCTGGATCTACTTTGTACATTTTTGGATTTAAAAAATGCCACACCCTATCACTAAAGAACACAGGCATGAATGCAATTTTCTCTAGAAGCACGTCATTTACCAGCCCGCATCCCGACTGGATCCCAGGACACTGAACGCCACCAGCACAATGTCATGCGACTTGCAGAATCCCAGCAGTCTGGTCTGATTGAGGTAGATGTGACACTCCACCTGCAGAGGGGCATTTCAAGGGGAACTATAGTGTTTTTTTTTAAAAATATATAGACATATATATTCACCTATATGTAATAGATAAATGTAATCAGTTTATCGTAAATTCAGTTAGTGTTCATGTTTCTAAAACCTTATGTTGTCATTAAAGTCTATAGGGCCAAAAATGCACGTTGATGCACCAAAAATGTATTTCATTATTATTGGTATTTTTATTGGTGTATTGCCCCGACAATTTCACGCAATGCATTACATACTGCACATGCACATCAGTCCCTACCCTCAAGGAGCTTACAATCTAAGGCCCCTATCTCACATACATACAAGGGACAATTTAGACAGGAGCCAATTAATCTGCTTCTCCTGGTGGCAGGATACTGAGCGGCCAGTCCTATCATGATAGAGGATGGGCAAATGTCTACTCACCTGTCACGGGTGAAGAATGTTGACAGTCTCTTTTGCTAAAAAATACAAATCCTCCACTTCCGAGCTGTTTATTTTCATACTCTAGTTCCCCTCAAAAGGCTCTCTAAACCCCAAAACAAAAATGGAATAGGTAGCAGCTTTCTAGCCCTTAGATAGAGAGCTAATGCAGACACCTTTTCTCCTTTATGCAAATGAAGCGAATAGCACACATCCTACCCTTGGGTGGCTACGTTCACTTCTCCGCTGCATCTACGGAGGGAGCCATGGCTGTTACCCAGACTGGATTCAAACATATCTTCTACATTTAAATTACAGGAGAGGGGAACATTTGTAGAATACAGACAGCATTGTGCAACCAATTCGGCTCTCAGGGAGTGTCAATGACACCACATTTCTGGCAAGATTACCATGTACTGTATATTCTGTACTTGCTGAAATATTCTTACTCTGCCATTTCAAATGCTGATGAAATCATTTGCAATGGATGTTGTTCCTTGAGTTTCAAAAGTATTTTCTTGCAGAATCAGCTGGTCCCGATATCCTGTTTTAGGGTGACTCCACCTATGGAGCCAACTTTGTGTGTGCTAGTAAGCTGTGCGAGTGTCTCCACAACCACACAGGCACAGCAAAATAATCCACTCCCCTGCTCCCCTCTCCTCTAAGCTAGTAGATGGAAAGCTGCTGGAGGCCGCTCTGTCCTTTGTGATCTTGTTCAGGACAGAAAGTTCAGGAAAGCTGAGCTGAGAGAGTTGGAGCCAACTGCTCAAAAACATGATGAATGAAAGTGTTTTAACCGAAATGTAAAGAAATACTTTGCTGGTAATGTCTCATAGATGGATCTGGATTTAATATTGAAAAAAAGTTTAGGTGTTAAATACTACTTAAAGAGAACTATGGCCTAAGCTTTTTTGCCAATAGTTTTCTTCAGGGTCACCGGAGGACATATACTAATGTCCTCCGGTGACCCAAAACTCAGTATATAGCGAGCCATTGCTGACAGCGCAGAACCGCGTCGCACCCGGGACGGATCCCGACAATTATTGTCGGCATCCACACCGCTGGCTCTCTAGGGGCAGAGCCAGCTGTGCCTGCCCCCTCCTCATCCATCCAGTCAGCGCTGGAGGATCGGAGAGGGGAGGGAGGAATCCCTGCGGGGAGCCGTGACTGACAGTCACTGCTCTCAAAAGGGAGAGGATGGGGAAGTCAGCAATCGACAGTATGTGTTCGCCGTGTTCCTGATCAATAGAGCCGAGCTGTGACAGCTCGGCTCTAACTATGGGGGTGGGTGTATTTCACTCTCCCCATAATTCTGCTTTAAGGGTTGATGTATCATAGCAGCCATTAGGAATGCTGATATGCAGATGATCACTAGAGGGAAGAATTTACTAAAAATTATGAAAATATGGAACAGCATGCAAAAAAAAAATTAATAATACTACATTAGGCATAAAAACCTAGCTAAATGCCACAATAGTTAAATTATGTACATTCTCACAATAGTTTCCAGTTAAAGGAAATATAATCTCTCTTAAACCTCCTATTGTTACAATGTTATTTGTCAGCCGTGGAAGAATGCCCATATTGCACAGAGTTCATGTGTGTCAGGAATGTCATGTGATGCGAGTCTGTATGCAGGTCATAAGAAAAACTTCACATCTTTTATCCTCTGAAATTTTTTGTCCTTTCCTATATTGGCTCCGCCCTCAATACCTCCGCCCCACTGACCACGCCCCTTAAGCTGCAGGACTGACAAAGGTTCATCATACACTTTGATGAATGACTGGCATAGGACAAGTGTGATGGTGAACTTGAATTACTGGTTTGTTTCCGCTTTAAGTGGTGTCACGGGTTGTTGGAGAATATGAACGGTTTGGATCAGTTACCTGGTTGCAGGTTGGTTTGTATCTCAGCTCGAGCATATTAAGTATGAGTTCTAGCTGCCGCCGGTTAAAGCTCGACACTCCAATTGATCTGGTCAGTCCGGCTGCCTTCAAGTCCTCCATCGCCTGCAATGAAAAATAAAAACATTTTTAAATGCACAGCTGAAGTTATCACATGCATGTCATACAGACACATTTATTTGCAGCATAAGTGTATTTGCACAATTAATAACTCCTTAAAGCTAAACACACAGATGACAAACATACATAGGAGTGGTTTGTCCATCCAGTCCTAAAATACAACACAGCACAGCCCTGTCTGGCAGGGCAGGAGACCTGATTTTCCTTTACTGCAGTTCAGTAGCACTTACAGGTCTCGTCCATCCCCTAACCTAGGAGTGGACAGTATAATACTGGACTGATGAGTTTTCGCTCCATGTCACTCTGCTCTCTCCTCCTCCTTGTTAGCACATGAACACTGCGGCACAGCTGAATAGTCATTTTGCATCTTCTCCCTCTCCCAGTCCAAGCTCAGCTGGAAAAGCTCATGCCAAGTCAAATGTATTTATTACAGATATTTATATAGCGCAGACAAATTACGCAGGGCACATTCACCTCAGTCCCTGCCCTAGAGGAGCTTACAATCCAAGGCCCCTATCTCACACAGTAGGAACAATTTAGACAGGAGCCAAATTAACATTCCAGCATGTCCTCCTTCTCTTGAAGGATTTGCAGGTGGTATCCTGACCGGGACTTGAACTGGGGACTCTCAGTGCTGCAAGGCAGAAGTGCTAACCACCACGCCACTGTGCTCTACTTCTTGATAAACACAACACAATACATGTATGGACTAATGAATGCAGGACTGCATTGGTGTGTGCCTTTCATATCTGTGCAGAGTTCAGCTTTAAAATATCACTAGCAATGAGTGGCATTAGTTTCTGTGAGCGGTTTATTGAGCAGAGAAGAGAATGGAGTCATTGTAGAATGGAGACTAATAAAAAGGTAAATGAGAAATAAAGGCTTTCAATAGTTAAAAACAGCAAACATAGTAGGACCTTCCTGAACTGCATCTCAAGCCACAACTTTTTGGGGGATATTATATTGAATGGCTAGCACCTCTATCAATGTTTTCTGTTGTCTGTGTCCCACCACTGGAGAAAATGTTCCTTTCACTAAATGTCCTGGATTCTCTATCCCAGAGACAATGGTCACATAGTCAGAGGCGGCTCTAGAGTTTGCGAGGCCTTAGGCGAAACCTAAACATGAGGCCCCGCTCAGGCCTGTGGACGGGTCTCACAATGGCTTTGTGGGGAATCATTGCATTGCATCGAGGGCTCTGAGGGGGTCTCACCAGGGTAGCAGGGCTCTGTGGGGTCTCACCAGGGCTCTGATGCCCCCTCCCAGCCAGATTGGGATCCTCGCACGGTGGATGGGAGGAGTGAGATGGCTTCCGAGTGGCTGGTGGGCGGAGCTCCAGAAGACCACTGGCCGAATGGACGGACCGAGGAAACAGATAAGCTCTCAGCCCTGTCGCTGTCAAACGGAGAGCCTCCGTTTGACAGCGACAGGGCTAAGAGCTCACGACGTTACCTAGCTGTGAGGTAATGTGACGGCAGGGCAAATTAGGCGGTCGCGAGGCCCTCGGGAGCGCGAGGCCTAAGGCGATCGCCTAATTTAAGAGCTGCCTCTGCACATAGTCCATCCAAAGTGACCTCTTCACAGCACAGATACAGCTTAATATTATAGAACCATTTACTCCAAGCTTCTTCAGGCAAGTTGTCAATCATATGTGCAGTGCATGGAAAAAAAAACCCCATGGTTTCCATACATTGCATTGATGGCAGACGAGCCTGAGACAGGTGTATCCAGTTTGCTTCACCATTTACAATAAACATTACCCCGATAGTTGAACTAGCTTTGTACCTTCCAAGTGTCACGAATGTCTGTGTTGTGATAGATGACTTTTCCGTTCTCATCCACTGGATAAGGGTCATCGCCAGGCTGTTATGTGGGGCAAATAAAAAACATAGGTCACGAAATGGAAAACTTTCAGAAGGATACCCGTACTTTTAAACTATTATCCTACCATACGGGAGACATTGGGGGTCTAATAGGCCCATAATGTCTCTTTAAAGAGAATTTAAGGTGATGGATCTCACACTTTCTGTCTCACTGCCATCACCATCGCTTACAGTAACCCCAATACAGAAAGAGCCGCACTCCAATCAGACGGAAGATCAGACGAAAGATTCTTACAATTAATAATTTTTGAGGCTTCCAGGAGAGGGAGCATAAAAAAAGTTGTGTTTTGGCGAAGAGGATTCTCTGTAATCGTACCTTTAGTTCCATTGGATTGTGGATAAGGAATAAATCCATGTAATCTAGCTGAAGATTTCGCAAGGACTTTTCTATTGCAGGTCGGACTCTCTCAGGAGTTTGGTCAGTCAGCCACAACTAAAACAAGACAAAACAAAAGGCCCAATGAAATTATATATGCAATGCAAGAGCCCTAATATTGTTTTAATGAGGCAAGCTACAATTTAGGGGGTTTTGTTTAAGGATCAATCCACCTGAAAATTCATGTTATAGGCAGGGCCGGATTTACTCTCTCTGCTGCCCCAAGGCCAGGTTCCTCAATGTGCCCCCCTACCCACCAACCCCCCTCCCCCATGGAGAATGGCAGACCTGCAGGTTGCATACAAGTGATGTGGCTGACATTGCCAAGATCACTTGTAAACGAACGAACCTCTTCCCTGCGGTACATTTAGCCCTGCTTGCCCAAAGCAGGGCTAAATGTAGAAAACAACTACCCATCCGGCGCCCGGAAATGCATGTCCCAGGCATCAGGAGATAGGAATTCCACACCCCTGCTGCCTCTCTACTCCCTGCTGCCCCAAGGCCAGGCCTTGGTTGGCCTTGTGGGAATTCCGGCCCTGGTTATAGGTTGAGCCTGGTAAGTCGAGTCAGCCCCTTACATATCTTGGACACTCCAATGGCGAGATCTGCCATAACTGCAAACTCTGTTCTTGTTCACCTGGGAGAGTTGGGTGACTTTGCCAACCTTTGAGTGTTCCAGCTACTCCTGTTACATTTTCCATAACATAAAATAGAAACACAGCAGTGATGGTGGGAGCCCCTCATAATGGGATCAGTGGGTGTGCAGACTCAGGAACTCAGTGCAGAGATCTAAACGACAGAAGGGATCATCAAGGGGTCCAGCATCCTCCAAAACAGGAAAATATAAGCCTTGGGTGGATCAGCTCTTAAAAGCAGAATTCCACAGTGAAAGCTAAATACAAAGTTGATATACATATATGTGAACTGTTAAAACAGAAACAAAATCCTGCTCAGCCATTCTTGTGAAACACACACCCATTTCCACACAGAGCCAATCAGCATTGCCATTATTTAAAGCTTGTACTGCTCCAACTTCCTTTCACGCATCCCCTCCTCCAGTTAGCTTGCCCCTTTCCAAACCTACAGCCTATTGGCATCACCATTATTTAAAGCTTGTAGTGCTCCAACTTCCTTTCACATATCCCTTCCTCCAATCAGCTCACTGGACTATAAATAAGAAACTGCACTGTGATGAGCTCCTTTCAGAGTTCCTCTGCCCAGGCAGGCTCAACTAAACATTGTTCACTCCAGAAACCAGGTCCTGAAACATGCTAAGGTAAAAGTCTTGTGCAATACAGGAGAGTCTTACAGGTTTTAAGAGTGAGCACCCCCACTTCTAGACTGATTTCATGTTCAAGGGGGACTATATAAGAAATCTAAAAACTTTTAAATGCTCTATACATAAAAATTTGTAATGGCAGTTTTTGAAAAATGTTTGCTTGTTCTTGAGAAAAAAAAAATACAGTCACCTTCCCAGTGTAGAAGATGTCTTCTCTTTTCAGCGTTCCCTCTGCAATTTTCTTTCTGATGGCTCGACCCACCTCCACCTCATTGCCGTAAAAAAATGCACAGTCAATGTGACAATAGCCCACTTCAAGGGCAACTGTTACAGCTTCTTCTGCCAAGCTCTTTGGAACCTGGAGGGTAAAGAAAATATTTATCAATGTTTGGTATTGTCTGGTGTTGCCTCAGTAAAACTTTTTTTTTTAACTATTTGTTAACTTTCAGGCATGGTGCCCCATCTACCATGCCACCCTGGACAGTTACCAAACAGTGCCTTAGAGTGACATTGTTGCCATGGGATCAGTAGAGATGGTCCCAAAAATCACATGACGTTAGATTTGTTCAGAATTTCATGAATTTGGATGTCCCAAACCAATTCAAATTTCAGCTTTATTTTTGGAACTTCCCAAAATGCTTTTATGAGAAAAGGCTGTTCCTGCCTTATAATTGTTTCCTGCCTAAGCACCTTGAACTTAACTGTACCACTAGCGCCGCCCCCCCTCTTCTTTTTAAGAAATAGTTCTGGCTTTTTTTTTTTTATAAAAATGAAAGCCTTAAGCCTGCAGATGAACACTGCCACCTTCAAGCCACAAATATTATCTGCAGTACAAAATATTTAATATTGTCATCGTCCGATATAAATCACACTAATAAAAATATTCAATTAAAACATAGAAAGAAAAAAAAAAGTGGACCTTAGATTGCTAGATGAGGCCAAACAAATACCCCAACATCAAATGGACATACTTGAACATTATTGCAAAGACTGCTGTGACCACCATCCAATTAAGTTCCACTTTAGGGCTGACTCCATTAAGCATGCGCATTTTATTCCTGCTTGATGCACATTAGTATCACACAAAGCAAAAGGTGTTTTTTTGGAAAACCCCATTCATTTGGAATATCCCCCACCCCCAACACACATCAGCACAGTAAAAAAACACACCTGACCTTCCAACTCCCCAAAATGAATAGATGTGAATATCCAGAAACTGTGTTGTGGTGCCTTTGTCATATATGGGTTAGGTAGTTTTTTGGGGCCTTAAAGCTTGCTGCAGTTCTGATGAGTTACGCCAGTAAAATGTGGTAGCAGGCAGAACTATAGCACTCAACCGGAGGGGGTGAAGGCTTCCAACACACCTGAAATCATCAGATGCGAAGGATTCAAAGAGCCTAGGAGACTGGAATTAATGGACAGGTACTTTTTACCCCCTTCAAGCGGGCTTTGCAAAACCTGTTTAAAGTGAACAAAGCCCACTGACACAGGCCCTAATGGTGCCATTCAAAATGTGCTGCAGTAACATGCAACAAACATAAAGATGCAATAATGCAACACAAAGATGTAAATGGGCCCTGAAACCCATATGGAATAGATGGGATTGCAACATGCATAGGTGTAAATAGGTGTACAATTTTCTGCAGCTTTTCTGTGGTTAGATGGAAAAGTTGCAACAGATTCCTCCATCTACACTTAACTGTGTGGATGGAGTAATAACTTTTCTTGCAGCTATACTTTAGAATTTTTAAAAATGCAAGCAGTTTTTCAAAATTCACACAACTTTCACCCATAATTTTATATTTCCAATTGACTCCAATTAGAAGAAGAAGAAAAAAAAAAAAGTGTGCGACTCTTGTGTGAAAACATTTATAAATAGAGCTTGATGTCTCTTCTGAAATAAACCTTCTCATCTGCCTGTTTGCAATCTTTTTTAGAATGAACACTGAATGTATATCATCCTGGCCAATCAAGATGGCCAAAGATCCCGAACCTCGTAGAAGGCTGAGCAACGATGCTGGCATGGGAGAAAGAGGAGGTGATTATAGTTCCACTCCAACTACTCTCTACACTCTCCCAAAACTTATAATTAAAAAAAAAAATACATGCACTTAGGACCCCCATTTACAGCTGTATGATTTGACGCACGGTATGTAACACATTAATGCACAACAAGACTATTGTCATCCAGTTCTATGGGGCCCCTTCAAATCTGTGTGCCATCATGCATTGGGAAAATAGTAGCTGTGCAGTTTTGCAAGGAGTTTGCATGTTCTCCCTGTGCTTGTGTGGGTTTCCTCTGGGTACTCCAGTTTTCTCTCACACTCCAAAGACATGCTGGAAAGTCAGTTGGCTCCTGTCTAAAGCTAACCTCTATGCAGGCCCGGCGCTACCGCAAGGCAAGTCAGGCGGCCGCCTGATTTAGCACCGGCCCTGCCTCTATGTATGCATGTGAGATAGGGACCTTAGAGATTGTTAGCTCCTTGAGGACAGGGACTGATGTAAACATGCAATATGTAAAGCACTGTGTGAAATTGTTGGGGAAATATACCAATAAATGAATAAATTGTTGGTGCATCAACGTGCATTTTTGGCCGTATAGACTTCAACATGCATTTTAGTGCACGACAACAAGCCCCCAGCAACTTTCATTAGCCTAAACAAAAAAGCATAATACATAAAAATGCATGAAAAAAAAAGAAACACAAATGCAGACATAGAAAAAAAAAAAAGAGGGAACCTAGCCCAATTATTAAAATATAGGTTTATCCAAAGTAGCCAGGAACATCCAGACCAGATGTCCCCCAATCACAACAAATTTTCAGGTAAAATCCAAGTTCCTATCATGCAGCCAGATCAGTTTCCTCATTACTGAGAACACAAACAGTGAAGCAATAAATACCTACTAGAAGCAAGTCAGAAGTTCAAGCTTTTGCAAAACAACAGTCAACATCAGTGAGAATCACCAAATCTCTTTACAAAACGCCACATTGGGTTTCTGTTTCCGACACAGTGGGGAAAGAAAGTCCGGTTACTATGAGAAACATCACGTATAACCTTATGCTAGTCTTTATAAACAAGCAACACAATCATTCATAGAGTTCTGTAAATTCTGTACACTTTTGGTAGTTAAATAGTACATATATGTATAAAAAAAACAACAACCATAGATGAGGCTCAAAGAAAGACTTCCAGGAGCCCCATGAACAGCATACCCACCTCTTGGGGTGCATAGGTGCCAAATCCAATGACTGGCATTTTGTGGCCATCATTGAGGACTATGCAGGAATCAGGGGTCAGTTGCATGGTGTGAGATTCTGGCAGATCCTTACACCTGTCATCTGCAGGGAAGTTGACTTGCTGTAAGACAACAGTGCATTTTTGCTTTTATTTTGTCCCTGACAGAGTAGGCTGGTCGAAGTAGGGCCTCCCAGCTGCTGAGCACTTAAAGAACACCTATTTGCATTTGTTTGGTGTTCTTCCACTAGGACACACCTGAGCGGCTTGCAGAGCAACTATAAAGGTTTCCAGCCTCACTAGGCAGCAGCTGAAGTACTGAAATTCTTATCTGTTGACTCATTAAATATAGGTGATCATTAAAGTAGATGTAAACCCACTCACTAAAATCTCGCGGAAGCTTCAACATTTAAAATGAAGAAGTAATTTTAGGTCTTCTTTGAATCTGCAGCTTTTGTTAAAATTGTAGCTGGCGATCCTGCCATGACAGTCATTGTTCAAGCTCTTCCTGTTACAGGGTCACAGTGCTCTGTCTCCTATCACCTGTCACAAGGGCTTCTAATGGAGACTACAAGCAGCTGTTTCAACACACATTGCACAGGCATGGTCCGCTGTTGTCCCCATCAGGGAACCCACCCTGAGAAATGCCATGCAGCCATTGCTGGAGTGCACGTAGACAGGAAGTGGCTGCAGGAGATCAGCAGAACTGTGACACAACAATGAATGAAAAAAGGTAACGGCAAATATTATATTTTTATTATATTTTATTTTGGGGGGAAAAAGGTAATTATTTATGATACTCAGTGGAAACCAAAGATCAGCCAGTAAGATTCTGAGTACATAATAAAGCTTTATATGCATGCGTCCGTGCTTTCATGGATAAGTGTACTTTAAAACAAAGTGCACTTTTCCTTTTAGCCCCCAACCCCTGATCTAACACTTTAAATTTAAAAAAAAGTAATGTTTTTGAAAGCAAACCATTCCTAAGAGACGCATGGGGGCTGCCATCGCCAATCCCCTTCTGAAGATAATAATTATCTGGCACGCTGGCTGACTGGGTTCAGTAAGGTTTGAGTCACTGACCCGGAACAAGCAGGCATATCTTATTGGACTTTCTTATTTGCGTGCTTGTTTCAGGTAAAGAATACACAAATGGCAAAGCCAGAGGGTAAACATGACAGCCAGTAAAATAGCATTTGCAGAATTAGAAGCTGCAATGGCAGCTTGCATGTCTCTCTCAGGAAAATTTTCCTTTAAAGGGAATCTGTGGGGATAAAATGTGACCAGGGCACTCAGAAAATAATTGTTTTGTATATGCCCTGTTTGCATCATGTGAGGTGCAGAAAAACAGACCTCAATGGACATGGAGGGATTTGTGAAAATTGGAGCAGACCGTTTTCTTATGGCAAGCAATCCGCTTCTCTCGTCAGTTTGTTCTGATACACTTTAAAATTAAAGAGAGAAGCTAATTGGTTTCCATGGGTAACTGCTCCAGATTTGGTCTGCTACGGTTTTTACGAATTCCCTCCCATGGTGTGGACAAGCCGTAATTGTTTTCAAATGGCCGCACGCTTGAGAGAAATAACTAGGCTGCAGATGCTGACCTCAGTGTGAGTCTGATTAATTATTCAATACTTAATGTGGGGCTGACTCAGAAAAAAAGTCATTTCAGTATAAAAGAAGGCGAGAAGCTGCATTTCAAGGAATAATCTCTACATAGCCTCTTGGGGAAATCCCACATGACCTCTGACACGTTTTCTCTCACATTTATAGAACTGCCAAAAAAGTGCAGGAATCTCAAGTCTCCCTGATGTTCAGGGAGTCTCCCTCTTTTGGACAGCAGCTCCCTGATAAAGTGCAATGACAAGATGCAAAGTACCAAAGTAAAATAAAATCTTAACTTGTAGAATCCATAGCAAATATTGGAAAGGAATATATGTCCAGCCAAAACTTTTAGTATGGGAAAGAGTGGGGAAGGATTAGAACCCCCTGCGGGCCTTAACTTTTCTCTGTGATTCCCTCACTTCTTTTATGGTGAAGTCATTGTTATGAAGCATTGCAAATAAATAATCTTTCTTCATGCATTTAGGACAAAATATATTCTGCTAAATTTCTTTGGTCACGACGGGTAAGCAGATATCAAACATGTCAAGCTTTAAAATAGCATGCGCCCGTGAAATCGCAAACAGTGATTGATGGCCCTAGAATTATTTCTGTTTTTCTTTTAAATGTGACTTTCATTTTTTAACTTTTTTACACTCAATTTTACTGCTATCACATAGGGGGATAACAAGCCCCCTATGTGATAGCACGGATATAGTGCCAGGTCTTTATGGAGACATCACCATTAGACCCCTAATGTCACCTATAGACCCATAGAAGCTGATGAAGCAGAGATCTGCTTCACCAGCTTCTTCTGCCACTACAGCAGCCTGAGAAATGACACACTGAAACCGGAAATGATGCAATGCACATCGCTTTCAGAGATCGGAGATCAGCCATTGGAAGTGTGCTGATCTCCCTAAGATCAATGTAAACAGACCGGCCATGCTGGTCCTGGGCCAGCACAGGGGACAATACAATGGCCGGATAGAAAGCAGTTAAAGCCCAACTCCAGGTTGGGCTGCTATTCCATTGGTGGACCCCAGTACGTATATCTTTCTTCTGAGGCGCAGTGTCCTCTTCATCTTCAGGTCTTCTCAAGCAATGAGTGAACCTTAGTGATGCAGAGGTCAGCGCTCACACACTGATGTAATCACTTTTCTCTGCATTATACTCTCGAGAACCCTGACCGGCTGAATTACGCTGCGTCCAGGGGGCATTTTTCGTCAGGCTGGGCTCACAGGAAGTGGGTTGAAGGGCGCTGAACATCATTGTACTTGGAAGACAAGTAACATTGGATGCAGAGGACATTCTGCAGGGGACTGAGTCAAAGTGTAGATGAGTATTGCAGCGAAAGCTGTGTTTTTCATTTTTGAACATACCTAGCAATGGAATTTGGGATTTATTATTGAAAACTGGAGTTCTGCTTTGAAGTGACCCCTGCCATTCCTCTTACTAACATAGAGGCTGTTGTAAGCTCTTTACTGCTCCATCTCATTTCACAGCTCTCTAGAAATTCCTAGATAGCAACTGTGAAGGTAAAACCAGTTCCTAGATAGGAACTTTAAAGGTAAAGCCAGTTCCTATACCTTGGGTCAAGCTACAATGACATTATCCTCTTTTTCCCAACGGGCTAGATCTATGATTTCTTATTGTTCTATCGGTTGAGGTCAGCCAAGAGAGAAATAAATCATTTCAGCCAATGGCCGAGAAGCTAGAGTAAAAGTAAGTAAAGTATATTTTTCGCCCTCGTTCACACCTGAACGTTTTGTAGCGCGTTCTACGCTCGACGAACGCTCTACAAAACGCTCAAAAATATAAATCCCATTGTATTCAATGGTCTTGTTCCCACCTTGGCGTATTTCCGCCCGTCCCTAATGCGCTACAAAACGGCCCACGCCTGAAAAGGTACATGTACTACTTTGGGCCGTTTTGTTGCGCGTTTCTATTGGGATACAGCCAAGTAGCCCTCAGAAACACACATTTGTCGCGCGACTTTTTTACCGCAAATCGCGGTAAAAAAACGCGCGAAAGTGGCGCATATGCAATACGCCTAGGTGTGAACGAGACCTTCGATTGACCTTTGACAATTAGGAAAGTGAGCCAGTACTCTGAAAAGCCAGGTGCTGTTTTGGGGAATCATCAACCACAACTCAGTACTCCAGTTGCTGTGGAACTACAAGTCCCAGGAGGCCCTGCAAGACTCTGAGTCATAAGCATTACTCCCAAAGTCAGATGTATGGTGAGATTTGTAGTTATACTACAGCTGGAGTGCCGAGGTCGCCTACCCATGAGCTAGCGGAAGGGGTCGTTTAGCTAAACCGTACTGGCTACCTATAAATTCTTCCCCAAAATCCCTGTAATACAACTAGGCTGAACTGTACCTGTGGCAGTCAACTGCAATCTTCATGTGGAGTTTGCAGGGATCTTTATTTGTAAATAATTCTCCTACCTCTTAGGCTCCATTCACACAGCAGCGGTTGTCTGCATGTGTTTGGGCAGACGAATATGCACGGAGCTGCTCTAAACAGAAAAAAATGCAAAAAAGTGCAAATTTTATATTTATTTTTGACGGATTCCTCACATTCGCAAATATATATATATATATAATAGCCGCAAACAAGCGGAATCCGTGCGGGTGAAAAATGTTAGAGTTTGCGGTGCCGCGCGGAAAACCGCGTGGGAAATGCAAATGCTATATGTGAATGGAGCCTAACCCAGCCGTAGTGTCCCTGGAAGCTATGTTGCAATGTTATCTGCTATACTTAAACATACTGTTCTTGTTCAAACACGTGTGGTTGGGTGCCAGGGGTGAGTTAGGACAAATTGTTCTCGTAGTAATAGATTTGGTCTAACCTGCCAAACCAGGCGCAACTGGTCAGTTAACTATAAAAGCAACCATGAAATGTACACAATCTTCTCCAATAAATGTTTGTGTGACTTGAACATTAAAGTAACTTGCCTGACAGCCACCACTGTGCTGGATGTACAGCATGTGCTGAAAAACAAATGACTTTTTAGATGTCAATGTTTGTAAACATTTGAAGGGTCATTCACATGGCTGTACACCGCCTAGATCAGGATATTTCTGTAGTGGGTACGGACAGATATTTTTTATTATAAACAGCCGCTCAGCATGTACAAATCTATGACAGGCTGAGAAGCTCTGCAGGCAGCTGTCCACATGTATTGGCACATGGATCAAATACCCGCGGTTAGGGACAGATGAAAGGCTCTGGACGCAAACTATCTGCATACAGAACCGCTGATGTGTTCCTAGCTGTGTGTAATCGTTCCTTGAGTGATCACATGCAAACAGCCATGGACAGTGTCAGCCTGTAATTGACTTTACATGCTCCCTCTCAGCAACTAGTCGGAAACACCTGCCCGTACCCTGCCACGGAAAAACGCTGATCTGGGCGGTGTATGGAAATGATTGCAATGTGAATGAACCCTAAGGCTCATTCACACTGCACAACTGCAGACTGTTTCGTCTTTTTTGATCCTGAAATCCAGCATAAGACAAAAACTGCTTGTGTCCCTGTGCAACGTTTGTTCTTTATTTTTGGTAGTGAAAC